CCAGGGTAGAACTGTTTCCCACAAACCGGCATATCTGCCTACATCATTCCTCACCTACGACATTTCGATTCTATTTCCGCGATGTCAGTGTAGACTACTCCGGAGTACTACTGTAATGTACTATCCACACCAAACAGCGCACCGAAGTCGTAAGGGCATGTACAAATGCAACGTTTTTCCCTCGTGTGCAGATCGCTGCCATACGTCATGATCCGCACGCAGACAGCAATTGGTGGCAACCGTCACTCTGCACATACTCTTCGCGTAGACGAAGCGAAAACTGCAATGCGGAGCCCTGTCGATCTTCACTTTTCTGCGCCCGCTACGCTCCCAAACGCTAAGGAGAAACAATCCTAGAAATACGTCCAAAACACCGAAAAGATGTCTACATAGTCTGTGTAGCGACGAACAGAGATTCATTGAGTCCAGAGTGGTACCACCTACACTCCTTCACCACCACTAATACGGAGGAACATAGTTCAGGTCTAAATGGCCGAAAAAAGTTTTTTCAATATTTTTTTTCAATGCCTTGTCCGAAAATATATACATTTGTGGCTTTCAGAACAGATCTTCGGACACCCACAAGGGAGGGCACGAGTATGCACATGGGATCAAAATAAAGCTCATGTCCACAGCTCCCTGTAGATGCCTGAGTCGCACTCAGATTTTCTATATTGCGTACAAAATATACAGCTGAAAATGGGCAATTCAAGCGCTTTTTTTTCACTGGGAAATAGAGCCGGACCAGCCTGGTTCTGAATTGGCAACGCCACCAGAACTTTTTGGAAACCCTGGGAGTGTGCGCTCCGGGCAACGTGCCCCTCTTTGAAATCCAACACATCGGTGTCAGCACTGCGCCGTGGAACAGAGGCACCTTGGGTCTGGTGACTACGGCTGCACATGCGCACATGGTGACCAAAAGGAAGGGTCGCTATGTTGCGACCGGCGTGACAGCCAAAGGGAAGGCCAAGACGGAGAAAGCGAACTTGGCGAACATGCTGCGCGCGAAGGAGGCAGCTCTCGCTGTCCGCGAAGCAACCGTCGCCGCTTGCGAGGCCGCGATGGCAGAGAAGCAGCAGCAGTAGCAAGGAACCGAAGCGTGTTTGCGGCCTACGCCACTTATTGATCGGGTGAGACTGTTTTGGTGATGTATTAACTTCACGAGAGGTCGACGACCGTCCTTCACACGGACGAAAGAGGGAGTGCTCAAGAGCGGCTCCCACAGCAAGGAGGGGCCCCGTGAATCATCGCGGTGCCCCCTATCAAACGGTTATCTTACCAGTCTGCGTGACACAAAATCATCCAGCACATGTATCCAACAGCAATGTTCGCAGACTCACGAACACCCTCCCTGGTTCTTCACGCAAGTGACTAACCATCAATTGGGCAAAAACGCCCCAAGATACATCAGAAAATACCAACATGGTAATATGTTGAGGGGAAACCCGGCGTCCGGGCAAAACCCCTCAAAGGAAAAACTTACCACCANGCAGCTACTCCGGCAAATTCATCTTGCGCCGGTGGTACTGCAGGCTGGCCCTGCTATCGGCCTTGGTAAGGAGGTCCGCGTGTTGCTCCGTTGTCGGAACAAACTTGACCGAAATATCCCCCGGCCTAAACAATACGCGGATGAAATGAAACCTCACGTCGATGTGTTTCGTGCGACCTGACCTGAGGGGGTTCTGCACCAACGCCATGGCCCCTTGGTTGTCCTCAAGGGCCTGGATGCTGCTACCACTGGTCTCTGGGGCAACAAACGAAAGCACAGTACGCACAAACAACGCCTCCTTGACACCCTCCCCGGCAGCAATGTACTCGGTCGCCGTTGAAGACAAAGACACGATACTCTGCGTCTTGCTACCATGGCTGACTACGGTACCTCCAACCGTCGTCGCCAACCCTGACACCGAACGCCTATCCT